GCTTCCTCTGCATCTGACTGAGGACTGCGTCTCTGCCTTTCTTCTTCCCAGAATTCTCCTAATCTGGTCACCCTGCCTATACTTCTTGCCTGGCTACTGGCCAATCACCATTTTTATTAAACCAATATGAATGGCAAATCTTTACAGTGTACAAGAGCGTTATTCTACAGGAGGAGGTGATGATTGCAATGTAAGTTATGTCTGGTTTGAATTCTGAAAGAGATGGTGACATCTCAGTCCAGGATGATTTGTGTCATTGAAGTTCCTACCAATGTATACATGATGCTTCTTCTGCTGTCCTTTGGTGTGGTCACATTTTTTTCTTCCAGGTTTTGGTAGTTGTGTATCAATATCTGAACACAGTCCCAGTGTGCATTTCCCTAGTGGCTAATCATAGTGTGCATCTTTGGGTGCCTGCTTGTCGGTTGGGTGTATAATTTGATGCTATATCACTTCATGGTTCTTTGTTTGTTTTGTTTTGTGTCCATTTTAAAATTGGATTGCTTAGAGTTCAGTTTTACTGTTGAATATTAAGCCTTCTGTATGTATTCTAGGTAGGTTGTTGGCTGCATATGTGATTTGAGCATGCTTTTTTTCAGCATGTCATGTTTTTCTGACACTCTCTCCAGGTCAGAAATGATAATTTTTCATAGCTATCATATGCCAAATGTTGTTATGCACAGAACAATTTCATATGCATTGTATCAGTTAATAAACAATTCCAGAGCCGTAGAGAAGACTACACAGTGTTTTATTTTTGGTGAGCCTAAGGTGTGGCTGGGTTAAGGGGCATGTCCCAGCTCACATCCAGGAGATGAGCTCAGACCAGCACTCTAGTCTTGTGATTAATGCTCTTTTAATTCTCCCCAGCATCCTCTCGAGACACATCCTCTTCCAGCCAGTACAAACTCATCAATCTTCTAAGAAATAGACTGCCTGAGCTCTGTTTTAAAAGAAGATGGGATGCAGCTCCTTGTGAGCTCAAATGTCAAACAGCTCTTTTTGGGGGAAGAATCCATTAAAGCCCATCCAGTGGTCAAGACCGTGCTGAAATGGAAAAATGTTTTTTCTCTGAGTCATGGGAGGCAAAAGAGGGGGTCCATCTTTCTTTTTTTTTTTTAAATAAATGTTTAGAATTTTTGTTTGTTTAGATGTATGCCACATGTATGCAGGTACCCATGGGAGCCAGAAGAGGGTGCCAGATCCCCTGGGAGCTGAAGTTATAGAGGGCTGTGAGCCACCAGATGTAATTGCTGGAAACAAAATTCAGGTCCTCTGCAAGAACAGCAGTGCTGTTAACCACTGAACCATCTCTCCAGTCCCCGGGGGAATGAATCTGATTGGAGTTTGGCACCATTTTCCAGGATAACAGCTCAGGATGGAGTGAGCATGGAGGTCACAGTTTGGAACATTTTTTTTTTTTTTTGCCATGCTCCTGGACACCCACATCATTTTCAAGATGCCAAACCTTTCAGATGACACATGAAAAAAAATCAATATTATCTTTGCAGGCCCCTTATATAATCAGAGCAGGCCCCTTCCCAAACTGAAGGACTGTGAGTGGGGGCGGGGCTCCTTCCACTTTATGGGTTTCTGTTGTGGAATATTACTTTAACTATGTAAAGGTATGTTGCTTATGAAACATTTGTTTAAATATGTAAAGATGTGTTACTGTTTCACCTTGCCTGCCTAAGGCACCTGATTGGTCTAATAAAAAGCTGACAGGCCAGTAGCTAGGCAGGAGAGGGATAGGCGGGGCTGGTGGGCAGAGAGAGTAAGTAGGAGGAAGAGTCTAGGCGAGAGAGAGAGAGAGAGAGAGAGAGAGAGAAGAGAACAAGGAGAGAATGATGGAGAAGGAGAGGGAGACACTCAGGGCCAGCCAGCCACCACCCAGCTCAACAGGAGGGAGCAGAGAAAGTAGGACATACAGAATGAAAGGTAAAAAGCCCTGAGGCAAAACATAGATGAAGAAAAATAGGTTAAATTAAGTTATAAGAGCTAGTGGGACAAGCCAGGACTAAGGCCGAGCATTCATAATTGATAAGTCTCCATGTTACAATTTGGGAGCTGGTTAGTGACCCAAAAGAAAGCCTATTGCAGGTTTCCCTTAGTTCTTTCTTCCACTTCTTTGGGATGTTGGCTAAATCCTTTAATGATTCTGCCTTTCTTTCAAAATTCTTAGGTGAGACATTAGGACTTAGACTCCGAGAGTCTGCGTGAGACAGCCATATGTGAGGGCAGCTTTGCAAAGACTGGAGCTGTGTCAAATCATCTTCAAGCCCAGCCGCCACTCTTAGGAAGCAGCTAGCCTACTAGGCCTATGAGAAAGAAGCCTCTTGACAGTCTACACTCATAAATCTACCTTGTGGGGTTAGGATCCAGATCTTCAGGTCTGGGTGAAGATGAATCTCTGCCACTTCTGGGCATGCACCCAAAGGATTCTATACTCTACCCCAGAGGCATGGTTCGTCCACACTCCTGTAGCTCACAATAGCAAGGAAATGGAAGGGACCTATCTGTCCATCAGAGGATACGTGGGTAATGAAAATGTGGTGTGTAAACACCACGGGGTTTTTTTTCATCAGTGAGGAAAAACGAAATTATGAAATTGGTGGAAAATGGAAGGAACTGGAATATATTATATTAAATGAGGTTAACCCAGGCCCAGAAAGATAAATGCTGCCCATTATCTCTCAAATGCGGGTCCTAGTTTCTAGTGTGTGTTGCATGTGCGTGTGTGTGTGTGTGTGTGTGTGAGTGCGTGTGTGCATGCATGCACATGTGTGTGTATAAGCATTCATAGAGGCTAGGAAATTAGCAAAGGCCCCATGAGAAGTGATGTGGCTGTTGGCAAGCCAGGGGGCAGGTGTAAGAGGTAAACATTGGGTTGATTAACTCACCACTCGCTCCAGCTCTTGGCTTATTCCCTGTAAATGGCCCAGCTTTGGAGTCCCTGAGGTGGCTCAGTGGGTTAGGGTGCCTGATGACCCAAAGTTTGACTCCTGGGATCCACATGGTGTGAAGAGAGAATCAACCAACTCTCCTGTCTTAGGTTTTCTGCTGCTGTAAAGAGACACAATGACCACAGAACTTTTATAAAGGTGTTAGGAGCTGCAGTTCCCTGGCCACTTGAATTTCTTTGCCTGCATTAGACCCTTTGCCTGCTGGAGTGAGCTGAGCAAAACACCTGTGCCTGCAGCTGCTCTGAGCACAAGACCCTGATGGCAGGGGAGTGGGTTCTGATGAGTCTGCAGCTGAAAGACCCCGGGAGCTGGGGCATGGTCAGAGCCCTATGTAAGCTACCCGTGAGCACAGTAAAGGGGGCATTCTTGTATGAAGGATGACCCATGTCCCCATGTCTCTGTCTGTCTGTGTGTGTGTTTTTAAGTCTCCAGCTTAGTTCCTGGCTTGCTTACCGTTTTGTAGTGGCAAGGGTGCTACAGAACCCGTCAGCTTTTTACATGAATACAAACAATCATTTTGGGGGGCTGGTTTTCAGTTTCAGAGGTTTAGTCCATTATCAACATGTCAGGAAGTGTGGGTTGAGCAGGCAGACACAATACTGGAGAAGGGGCTAAGAGTTCTACATTTGGATCACAGGCAACAGGAAGAGAGTGAGAGCCACTGGGCCTGGTTTAAGCATTGAAACCCCAAAGCCCACTCCTCCAGTGATATACCTCCATCAGGGCCACCCCTATTCCAAGAAGGCCAAACCTGCTAATAGTGCCACTCTGTATGAGCCTAAAGGGTCCTGGAGCTCCTCGAGCTGCCAGTTGAGATGAATCATCACAATCACGAATTACACAGATATCCCCCCCCCCCCCCCCCCCCGTAAGAGAGCATACTGGCCGTGATCAGTGGCAGGAGCTGAAACACGGGGAGGCAAGAATGGGACGGAGTCTTGGGAACTGCTGAATGTTGTACTGTGTGGATATTAACTGGGCCTCGTGGATAAGTTCAGCTAGAACGGATGATAAATAAAATGCACACAAAATAAGCTTTCTTTCATTTTAGCAGTTTAAAAGTCCCTCGAGAGAGGTAACTGGTTCTTTAGAGAAGCCAATGCAATGCCTTACACGTTCTTGTTTAATTTTCCACCCTCGCTGCTCTGCAAAGGCGTTTCCCCCTTTACACTGGATGCGTTTACATAGGACACGACCTCGGCGTATTGACCTATGAGATTTAGAGCTGGGATTTTGAAATCACTGGCGTAGCGCTGTAGAAGCTTTATGATCAGGGAGTCGCTGATCCATCAGGACACACTGCCCAGGTGTTTTCCCAGCTGAGCTGCTGGAGGCTAAGGCAGTCTGAGCCCGGAGCTTGCTGGATGTAAACGCGCAGTGCAGCCATAGATTGCAGGGCAATCTCAACTCCTAGTCATTCTTTAGTGACCACAGACTGCAGACACGTGCCCCTATGCACTCCTCACTTGCAGTAGTTGCAGGCTCACTACTCCAGAGGTGCAGCGGCTGTGGGGGCACGCGCGGGATTAGAACAACCCCTTGAACCAAGCGCGAAGTAGTGTGTTGAATGAATGAGCGTGGCTAGTGTACTAAATTACCCGGAGAATAACGGAATCCAGTCCGGGGTCACAATGGTGACCTAAAAATACCCTGGAGGCAATAGAGTGAGAGGAGGCGTTGGTGGAGAACCACGCTGTCTTTGGTGAGACTGGAGCCAGCAGATCGCGCTGTTCCTAGGACCAGGCAGGCCCAGGTTGCGGTGACCCATCCCTCAGCGGGCAAGTCTCCAAGGCTGCAAAGCCTGCCTTCAACTCTAGAGATGACCCGAAGTTAGGTCTCGTGTGTGTGTGTGTGTGTGTGTGTGTGTGTGTGTGTATGTGTGTGTGTGTGTAGTGGGTTGTTCACGATTGCGACCACCGCACTGCGCCGCAGCCCGCAGCGCCCCGGGTGCGCGCAGCCCCAGCCCCGCCTCTTCCCCGTGCGCCCCGCCTCTCCCAGCGCGTGCCACCCGCGCACCCGGGGAGCTCGCTAGGAACCCGCGGGGTAGGCGGCCGGTGTCCCGGCGCAGGCGCGCTGGTGTCGCCGTCGCTCCCGCCGGCCGCCCCGCACGCGCCCCCGCCCCGCCTCCGCACGCGCCGCCGCCCCGGGCGCCTGTGATTGGCGGTCAGAGGGGCCCGCAGGTGGCGGCGGCCGCAGAGGCTTAGGCTGGCGCTGGCTGGCTGCCTGGAGCGGGCGACTCCCTCTCCGCCGCGCGCCCTCGTCCTGTCCGCGCTGCCCGGCTCCCACTGTGGCTGCGGCCCCAGCTCGGGAGCACCAGGGCTCTGCAGCTTCGCGGTCGCGCCTTAGGGGCTGCGGCAGGTGACCCGGGGCCACCCGAGGCGCGGTGGCCCTGAGCCTGGCCGCCATCCATGAGCCTCGCCGCGGACCTGATTCAGGCCGGCCACCCCGGGTGAGTCCTAGAGCCCTCCCCTCAGCTCCCGCAGCTGGATGCCATGCTCCCCTGCCACGTTGCGGCAACTTTTGGGGTGGGTGTCTGAAGATGTCGCGCGCGCGGTCCCCCGCACCTGGTGCGTGTCCCAGACCCGGGATGCGGGGCATGACAGCCTGCCTCTGCTAAGGGGCTGGTGGGGATTTGAACTTGGCCAGTACGGAGTCATGTCCGCCCCTTTCCGTGGCTGCCGGGGCGGGAGCTGGCCCCTGCGATTCTGCGCTGGCCACGTAGCGCTCGGGCTGCGGTGCACCGCGCACCTTGCTAAGAGACTAGCGCTCTGGCGGGCGCCTCAAACCACCCGGTGCGCACCCGGCAGCTGGCCAACACAGGCCACGTGACTCTTTTTAGACTCCTAATGTTAGCAAAATGGGGCTAATTAGGGACTCTCCGAAGGTCACGGCCGGCGTGCAGCATTAACCCCCAAGGCAGACTGCTTCTGGGCTCAGCCCCCAGGCTGCCAGTTGAGGAGAGGTGCGCTGGTGAAGGTACTGGGCGCGGTGTCGCTTTTCATCATGGTCTCTTTCTATCACCCCCCCCCCCCCCATCTCCAAAGATACCAGACTTGGAGAGATCACGAGTTCACCCACAGGGTCTCGACAGAGGTTTTGGGGGGTAACCTCTGCTTCCGTGTGAGCGTTCCGTGTGAGCGTTTGTGTGGTGGGAGCCCTCGCAAGTGCGGCATCTGAGACACCCTCCTCTTCTGGTCACTTAATTGACTGATGTTTCCGCAGAATGCGGAGTAGGGGACTCTGCTGAGCGCCGGCGCTTATTCATAGGCTGTGTTTGGCTTCCGGCCTCCCAAATAAACCCTGTCCACAGGACCTGTATCCCAGCCACTCCTTTGAGACACACACCAGAAAAGGCCAGAGAAGGGAAGTGGGCATGCCAAAAGGCAGCCTTCTCTAAAGATCTCCCATCTGCTCCTAGAAGATTCCTTGAAATGGACTCCATTTCTGTCGGCCCCACCCCCAACCCTCTAATATACATCTTGTTTATTTTCTCGAGACTTTCCCAGGGAGAGATGGACACCTGCCCTCGGTGTTGTCACTGTGATCCAGATCTTGGAGAGGCTGCTCTCTCATTTTGGGCTGGGGAGAGAGTTGTTCCCCTGTCCTGCCGTTACCCTGTTCCCACACGACCTCCAGCTACAACCGTTACACTCAGCGATGTCACGGCTGCTATCGTCCTGCGATGATTGACAGGTGTCTTAAAGACCTGTGATGACTGACAGGCATCTTTTGAGCCTCCCAGTCTTTATCCATAAGATGGAACCACCCTGATTCAGTCTTGCTCAAGCTCTTGGGAACCATGTAAAAATGCACCGGGGTTGAGACACCAGGTGCAAGGGAGATGTTGCCAGGCATCTCGGGAGGGGTGTGGAAAACGAGGTGACTCCAAAGATTTGACAGCGACATCAGGACCCTGTCTGCAGATCAGAATATCTTTTTCTAGAGACATTTAGTTTTGGTAGAGCTTCAAAAACTGCTTTCTATCTTCATGTGGGTGTTCATGGCCTAGATGTGGTCAGCTGTGTCTTCTGAATTACTCCCCCACCTATGGAAGAGGAGCCTCTGTGTCTCTGGAGCTGGGGACTCTAGGGGTATAAGAAGCGCTCTCTCTCTCTCTCTCTCTCTCTCTCTCTCTCTCTCTCTCTCTGTGTGTGTGTGTGTGTGTGTATGAATGTGCCGATTCACATGTGTGATTAGTCATGCATGTCTCTGTGGAGATGGTGTGTGTGTGGCAGGATCCTCTTTGTGATCTGGATTGTAATCTTTCTGTGTGGGAGAGGGAAGTGCGGAATTTATTCACCTCTGAGAAAGGGAACTGCTAGCCACATCTGGTAATTTAAACTAGTAGTCTTTTAGATCATGTCCTGGCATGAGGTGGGGTGGTGGTAAGATGGGCTAAGTGGGGTAAGAAAACATGTCTGTGACTTTGGTGTTCAGTTCAATTGGATTCTCTCTTGCCAAAAAGTGCCTTTTAGGAAACTGGGTTCTTCTTCTCCCTCCTCCTTCTCCCCCTCTTCCCCTCCCCCCTCCTCCTCCCTTCTCCATTTCCCTGCTTAGTTCTCGTTGTGTCTGACATGGTCATGTCTGAGTTCAGGCAATGCAGTATTGTTGATCAGCCCCTGGTCAATTTGTTTTAACATTTTATTAAAGTATATATTAAAGTATAATGGCAAAGAGTTGTAGAGCTCACAAGTGTATATTTGGGGTTCTTAATATCTGTGAATTTGAGAGACGGCTGACCAGTTAAGAACACTGTGCTCTTTCAGAGGACCAGGGTTCAGCTCTCAGGGCCTGCGTGCTGCCTCACAACGAACTGTGACTCCAGTCTGGGAATTCTGCAGGCATAGCATGCACATGGTACACATATGTGCACCAAGCATGTATGCACACATGCATATACAATACAATAAGTAAATACTTAAAGTGTATACCTGATGGATTTTCATAGACTAGCCATGCCTGTGTATCTAGTTTCCAAACTAAGAACAAAAATACCATAGTCTTCCTAGAACTCATGAAAAGCGTTAGCTCCCCCAAACTAACATCGAGATTGGCCAGGCAAAGTTCATTTCATTTTTATTAAAGTTTTTGGCTATCAAGCTAAAATGAGACTTTCAGGGTTTTTTTTTTCTTGATTCCTCCCTTTTAAGACAGTGTCTTCTTACCTATAGCTCAGAGTTCATGGAACTCTCTATACAGTTTAGGCTGAATTCAAAACTGTGGCTATCCTCCTACCTCAGCCTCTGGTGTGCTGGGATTAATGGCATGAGCCATGTCTGGCTTTTTTTTTTTTTCCGAGACAGGATTTCTCTGTGTAAACAGCCCTAGCTGTCCTGGAACTGCCTCTGTAGACCAGGCTGGTCTTGAACTCACAGAGATCCTCCTGTCTCTGCCTCTCGAGTGCTGGGACTAAAGGTGTGCACCACCACCACCTGGCTCCGGCTTAATATTTTTTTTAAAACTTCCTTTTTATAATGAGTTCAAACTAGGAGTCATTTATCTATGGCAGAAAGTTAGGAGGAAAAGTTTGATCTTAGGACCTGAGCAGAGAATCAGTGGGCAGCCTCACCATCTAGGGATGATGAGTTCTTTAGTGGGGTGACAGCTAGTCCCCAGATATAGCAGACATTGATAACTAGAGTTTCATTTACTCCTCTGAATTGTTTCTCCATTGAGTAAATTTGAAGGGTGCACATCTTAAATTGCATGATATCAGTGAAAAAATATGAATGAGCTTATTTTTAATTCCTCGAAGTTGAAAGCTGGACGGGATCAGGAAATTTCGGCTGATTTATGAGTGGATGGGGCTGTTGTCACATGGTAGCTCCATGTTGGCTGGAGAACACAGGCACCCAATGCCATGAGCCCTCAGAAAAGAATCCAGAAATACAACACCCAACATCTCTAGAAAGTTCCTCTGAATACTGCTGTCTGCTGTCTGGTTGGAAGGCCCTTTTTGGCCTCCTACAACCAAATTCATGGGCAGACTCCCTCCGAGGGTTCAGTGCTGCTTTGTGAGTTGGAGCCAGGTGAGCTCTGAGGTCACGCTGCATTTTCCTCAGCCGCGTAGGGCTCTGGCGGCACATCTCCGGGGTGTTAAAGAAGGCCTGCTCAGGTGTGTGTACGTTATATGTCACCCCAGATTCCCCCAAAGGTTGAAGGTTCTCTTTCCCCGTCCAGTGGCTCCTTTCACTAGAGTGGGTTGTAGAGAATGGGGGGGTTGCTGGGGGCAGCGCTCCCAGCATCTCCCAGGAGGAGGGGAGGATGCTGTGTCTGCCATGGAGAGGACTAAGTGGGGCTGCCCTGTCCTTGCCCACGGCAATTTTCATCGTCACCTTAACAAGATGCTGCTTGGAGCTTGGTGTTCTTTCGGTGACTATATTAGTTCTCTCTGCTGTGACACAATACCCCATGAAAGCAATTTCAGGAGGAAAGGAAGGAGGCAAGGACAGTCCGAGGGTGCAGTCTGTCATGGCTGAGGAGGTATGGCTGCAGGACCGTGAAATATGAGGCAGCTTGTCTCACATTTTCACATCAGGAAGTAGAGCGAGGTGGATGCTGCTTTCCTTCCTTCCTCCTTTTCTTTATCCTGGACTCCCAGTCTGTGGGACGGTACCGCCATATTTAGTTGGGCCTCCCACCTCGGTTCAGCCTCTCTGGAAACACTCTCACACACAGGCCCAGAGGTATCCCCTGTGGTACCAGATGACGTGGTGTGGACAATGAAGACGCACACACGGTGGTGCTTGTTGCTGAGAGCGAGCAGTGTTTGCAGGCAGTGGGGATGACTCCACAGCTCCTTCATCTTTCCAGGTGGGAGGATATGCCTTCTGGTTTACAGATGTGTCTGAGTGTCAGAAGTTCAGCACTCTGCCGGAAGCACTTGGGAGGCAGAGACAGGTGGCTCTCTCTAAGTTCAAGGCCAGCCTGATCTGCAGAGTGAGTTCCAGGACAGGCTCCAAAGTTACACAGAGAAATCCTATCTTGAAAAACATTCCTTAGAAGTTAATGTGTTCTGTGAGGCAGACTGAGGGTCTAGGACTGAGTGTCCAAGACAGCTTTCCTACACAAATTAGGCTCTTCTCCAGGGTGGCGAGGGCTTCCAGTCATTCTTTGTCCTCTTTGGCATCTGGTTTTGACTTAACGTGTAGGGCCACTTAACCCCAAACACGGGATTGGAAATCCAAAGGTCTCCTGAGTGAGTGTGAAGTTCAAACAGGGAAGTGTGAGAACGTGGAGTTGGAGTCCTGCCATCTGCCATGTTGGGACCAAAAGCATGCCCATCAGTAGCACCCCCCCCCCTTGATCGCCAGGGGAGTCTGTCTTACCTGGTTCTGTTTTTTTTTTTCCTCTAAAGATGAGGTTTTTAGGCTGGGCGTTGGTGGCGCACGCCTTTAATCCCAGCACTCGGGAGGCAGAGGCAGGCGGATCTCTGTGAGTTTGAGACCA